TTTTAATCCTTGGCATCAACTGTGTTGAGTGTTCACGCTGTGGGCAGTTCTCAGTTGTTGCTTATACAGGGAAGTCACACATGGATGCTTCTGGGGAAGAATATGTGCTCACTTAGTCCAGTGCAAAGGCCTATTACATTTCTAAAGCAGGCAGACCCTGAGCCTGGTGATCTGATCCAAATCTTCATGGGACTGAGAGGGAACACATGACCAGAAATTGCAATCTGGGTTATCCAGAGTTGCTTTTTCACTTCTCTTTCTGTCCCAACTGGTTCCCCTTGTTTTCCTTTTTTTTTCTTTTTTCTTTTTGTTGTCAGTCATGGGGCCTGAACTCTGGGCCTGGGTGCCATCCCTCAGCTCTTCAGTTGTAGACTAGTGCTCTACCACTTGAGCCTCAGCTCCACTTCTGGCTTTTTCTGCTTATATGGTGCTGAGGAATCAAACTGAGGGCCTCATGCATGCAAGGCAAGCACTCTACCACTGAGCCACCTTCCCAGCTCCTCACCTTGTTTTCTATGGGTGGCCTTTGCTCACCCAGAGCCACTGCTTTCTTTAACACGAGAGTGGAAAGAAATCCACTAATGAGGCCCTTGTAGCCCATGCCCTCCCAACTGGCCATTCATGTGCCCCAGAGCTGGAAGGTCATGCAGGGTGTTTGGGAGTAGATTTATGCAAACGAGGCCCACCCTTACTTCAGGATGGACAGGGCTGGAAAATCCCCCTGTGTCTTAGAGGAGTTAAGAAGTGTGTGTGTGTGTGTGTGTGTGTCTGTGTTTTAAAGTCTGACATCCATCTGCCTGCTTTGAAAAGACTAGGAATTACTCCCTTTAAAAACAATTGATTGTCAGGCATTAGTAGCTCATGCCTGTAATCCTATCTTCTCAGGAGGCTGAATTCTGAAGATTGTGGTTCAAAGCCAGCCCGGGCAGGAAAGTCTGTGAAACTCCTATTTTCAATTAATTGGCAAAAAGTCTATAGTAGAGCTGTAGCTCAAGTGGTGGAGTGCTAGCTTTGAGCAAAAATACTAAGGAATAGTGCCCTAGCTCTGTGCTCCAACTCCGGTACCAGCACAAGATAAAATAAATGAAATAAAATTGACGACACCCACAAATAGTTCTTATCCCGAACCTCTAGGAGTTTCTGGCATGCCTCATACTATGTACTAGGTGGGGATTTCACTTTGTATATATACAGTCAGGCGATCAGACTAACCCTACAACCTTAAACTCCTGTGATAAACAGAGAATAAATAGACAATGGCACTTCAGTTCTAACTTGCCTGAATCAGCCCCATGCTTCCTGTTTACGTCCCTTTTCTGATCTTTAGGGCTTTGAATTCTGGTTTCCTAGTGATCCAAGTGCTAGCTAAGGACTTTGGAAATTCCTGCTGCCTTGAGTGTGCGCTCTGAGGCCGTTCTGGCTCCTGCATCAATCTTGGACCTACTGCTGTCCTGTCCCTGTATCCATTCTGGCCTCTCCCAGGGAAGGTCTAGGCCACAAATAGCTATTGGTTAGTGATTCTGTCACCCTCAGGGTATGAGCTCCTGAAGGTAGGGTTTTGATATTTTTTGGTAATCTTGAGCAGTGACAACTCTTGTTGCAGAGAAATCCCTGGGACAAGTAGCAGGAGCTTTACTGCTCAGGGAAGAACTAGAACAGGTCACATAGTCCCTGTGGAGAGGTAAGGGTAGCAAGAATGTCAGGGAAGTCTCTAGCCTTCATCTGCCTCTGAGCCACTGTCAGGGTATAGTGGGGACCAAAGGGTCATTGTACATGTTAATGTTCTACTGGTGCCACTGAAAGAAAGCAGGATGTGCTGACCCTAGCTAATATAAAGAAATGGAGATTGCACATGTCCATCTATGGATGGTAAATCAACAAAGTGCAGGAGAGACCTGCAGTAGAATATTGTTCAGGCAGAAAAGAATGACATTCTGATACATGCTACCACATAAGTGAGCCTCGAAGAGATTACACTATATTAATGAAATAAGATAGCCACAAAAGGATACTGTGCTTACATGAAGAACCTCGGGTAGTCAAATTCATGGTGACAGAAAATAGAATGATGGGGATACAGGTATGGCTCAAGTGGTAGAGCACCTACCTAGCATGTACAAGGGCCTGATTTCAAACCCAATACTGAAAGAGAGATAGAGGGAAGGAAGAAGGAAGGGAGAGAGAGAAAAAAAGAGAGGCTCCTGGACAGACAGAGGGAGAGTGTCAGGTAGCTCTGGAGTATGGTTGAAGTTGAATTGACTGGGGAAACAGGCTCCCGCATTGCCAGCTTGGCCAGGAGGGGCAGTTGTGAGTCATTTTACCAGGATCAATTCACCGGCTCATTTTCAAAATGAACACTATGTTTATTGTTTTCCCAATTATCTGACATTAGTTACCCAAGTTTTGTTTTGAACTCACAGCTGCATTTTGGGGAAGTGTTACATTCTATCAGAGTCAGCTCCCTGCTGCAGAGCTGGAGACAGAAGAGTTGAGAGAAGGATGGAGATGTCTGTCCTTGTAACTCTCCAGCCCCTAAACTTGACCAAATTATTAAGGGAATGGAGAGAAACATTTGGGAAAAAAAAACCCTGAGATTAAGTTTCTTTCATGCTAGCAGAGAAAAGGCAGAAAGTTAGGGTTCAAGCTGGCACTGGAATTTATTTATAGGCTTGAAATTTGGACCAAGAATTTATCTCTAACATCATTTAATGTCCTTTCCTTGCCACGCACAGCTTAATATGGAAGCTAGAAATTTGTGTCTTCTTTTATTTTGCTGATCTCTGTAGGCATGTTTCCCTTAAAAACTAATAATGCTACAATGAAAGATTTAAGAGATAGTAAAGCAAACCAAGTCCAAACAAGGACAAGAATAGTTGATCAAAATAAATGAACAGATGTTTAAACACCTGAATGAATTCAAAGATGATTCAAATAAACAACAAGAGAACACAAATAAACATCTGAACGAAATAAAGAAGACAATGCAGGATATGAAAGAACTAAAGATCTAAAAATCTTGAAAAAAATCAAACTGAAACCTTGGATATAAAGAGCTCAATTACCCAAATAAAAACTCAATCAAGGGGCTGGGAAGGTGGCTCAGTGGTAGAGAGCTTGCCTTGCATGCATGAGGCCTGGGTTCGATTCCTCAGCACCACATAAGCAAAAAGAAAAAAGCCGGAAGTGGTCCTGTGGCTCAAAGTGGTAGAGTGCTAGCCTTGAACTGAAGAGCTGAGGGACAGAGCCCAGGCCCAGAGTTCAGGCCCTATGACCAGACCTCCCCCCCCAAAAAAAAAACTTAATCAAAAGCCTATCTAATAGAAGAAGTTAAAAACAAGGTATCAGGGTTGAAGATATAGCTGAGGAATTAGATCAGTCAAGGACATTTAAAAAGTACTTAGAGCTAGGTGTTGGTGGCTCAAGTCTGTAATCCTAGCTACTCAGGAGACTGAGATCTAAGGATTGCAGTTTGAAGACAGCCTAGGTAAGAAAGTCTATGAGACTCATCTTCAATTAAATACCAGAGTTGGAAATGGAGCTGTGGTTCAAGTGGTAGAGTGCTGGCTTTGAGCAAAAAGCTTAGGGATAGCACCCAGGCCCTGAGTTCAAGATCCAGGACCAACACACACACACACACACACACACACACACACACACACTACTTAGACAATACCAACACTTAGATAATACCAAGACTTAAAAATTTCTTAAACTTCATCAAAAAACTAAACCTATGGATTACGGCAATAAATGAGAAAGAGGAAGAAATAACTAATGTCATTGAGAACCTATTCAACAAATAATAACAGAAAGTGTCTCCAACCTCAAAAAGAAAAATAACAGTTATGTGACAGAAGTTTACAGAACTCCTAAAAAGTAAGATAATACAAGAAACACCCCTATACACATTATAATTAAAACACTAACTCATGGAAGAATATTGAAAACTACAAATGCGAATATCAAGCTCATTAGGAAAACAGCAGATTCCTCAAGATAAACACTAAAGAAAAGGAGTACATAAAAAGACAGGATTCTGGGCTGGCTACCCACAGCATGCATGAAGCTCTGGATTCAATTCCTCAGTCCACATAGACAGAAAAAGCCAGAGGTGGCGCTGTTGCTCAAGTGATAGAGTGCTAGCTAGCCTTGAGCACACAGAGGGCTATGCACAATGCCCAGGTATTGCCCCACACCCAAAAAGACAGGATTCAAGCCTTGAAAGACAATTACCAAACTAGACTACTGTAACCAGTGAAAATATCCTTCAGAAATCATGGAGAAATAAAAACCTTTAATGATAAACAAAAGCTACAGGAATTCATGACTACTAAACCAGAACTGCAAAAGATTTTTTAAAAAAGGAAAAATAAAACACAAAAATACAGGAAAGAATGAAATCTGCTAGAAGAGAAGATTGGCAAAGCAGGAAGAGGAAAGGAGCCAAGTGTCACAAAAATAAAATACTAGGAAATACGATATACCTTTAATATTAATGTTGGATGTTAATGGTCTTAATGCTCAATCAAAGGATGTAGAATGGTAACTTGGACCAGAAAACAAGATCCAACCATTTGTTGCCCAGAAGAAACATATCTCACTGTCAAAGACAAACAGGCTTAGGGGAGAAAAAAATGGAAGAAGATCTAAGCAAATGGACCCTGAAAGCAGGCAGGAGTAAGCATACTTACATCTAACAAAATCGACTTCAAGCTGAAAACATCGTCAGAAGGGACAAAGAAGGCCACTTCATATTAATAAAGGGAATGATCCATGAAGAAAAGATTACAGTAGTTAACATATATGTACCCAGATTCATTCAACAAACACACTGATATTTCTTCTCAGAGTTTAGACAATATCCAAAGTACTTCATTTTGATCATAAGCCTGTTTCTCTGGTTGTGACCTTGCTACTTTATGCACATGTCCCCACAGGTTTATCCTTCCTCCCTCCCCCAGACTTGGGATTGGACTTCAGGAGGCGCTTCGGGGCAGGAGCTAGCTTTTCTTTGTGTTGTTTACTTCAAACCAGGCCAAGTTTTCAGAGGGCATCAAAGGAATGTTGGCATACTTGATACATTCTTGGACCCAGTTGCTGTTGGGGTTGGTGCAGACTTCTTGGTTCTTTTTGGTGACCAAGCTGTGAAGATAAAGTTAGAGTCATGGCTGGGGAGCTGGGTAGGGTCTGGATCACATGCCCCTTCAGCTCACCTGGCCTATGTTCTTTATAGCTTCTCTTTGGCTCCTCTGTCTAATCCCCTCAAAGCTCTCTGGTCTCTAGAGCTGATTTTTTCTCTTCTCAGACCCTTCCTCTCTCAGACTAGACCATTAATTTCATCATGGCATCATTTATTGAGTCACATAGATGTAAGAAGTAAAAGTAAGAATTTATTCCAGGCCCTCCTATTTCAACAGAAATGCTTCAGGGAAGTGCTTATATGATTGCGGGCAGGTGACAGTTGAGGGTCTTTCTGTAACCCGCCACCAGTTTCTTTGGCAGTACTTTCTCTCAATACTTAATGCAGCAGTTGGGTGGAGTGTTCACCCACTCAGGCATTCCTGAAAAAAATCACATTGCAAGTCAAGCCAGGGAGGCAGAGAGGGAGACATGGATGCTCACCTCCACCTCACATCAGTTGCATTCTGCTCCTTTGATATCAAGATCTCCTATTAGCAGGGACTGGTATAAGCTTGGTGGATAATGGGGAAAGTAAGAAAAATATTGGGGATATACACATGGCACCTTTAACTTCCTAACTGAATGTAAACCAGTACAAAAGATTAGGGGGAGCTGGCTCTTTTGGTTAGTAGTGACATGGTTGGGCAAATATGTTTGGAACTCCTGTTATATGCCAAGCTCTGTGGAGGTAAAAACATGAGGAAGAGACAGACACTCTTCTTGAATAGTTAACAGACCAGTCAAGGTGAAAAGAACATGAAAGGTTAAGCACTATAATACAGTGTGGTCCAGCAAAGGTACTTTGGGACCAGCCAGCCTTGGTGCTTGAGAAGTTCCAGAGCAGGTGATGGGTATTGAGTTTCTCAAAGGTTCAGTAGGATTTGGAACATGTGGAAGCAATATAGGAAGGCCTGAAGGTAGGGAATCTCAGTGTGTCTGGTGAGCACTAAGCAGCTTGGGATGGCTGGAATGCAAAGTAGGAAGGAAGGAGAGGGAAGAGATGGAGAAGTGGAAGGAGAGAGGAGGCCAGGGCACACACTGACCAAGCTGGGGTGAAGCCTGGAAACCATCCTAGAGGGTGAGAATATATGAGACAGGCTAAGGTTGGGGAGGAGGATGAAAAGGCAGAGCATGAGTGAGAGGAGTTAAATAGAAAAATGTACAGTTTAGGCTTTGAGTCAGAATTTTGGGTAACTGGTTTGAACCATGGGAACTTTATCTCTCTAAGCTTGTTTCCACATGCACCTAGGACCATGGTGAGAATAGTTGAGAAGATGCCCAATTCAGAGCCTGGCACACAGATCGGCTCAGTTGGTACTTGCTGTAATTGTGAACAAATGGGGCTGACCACTTTTCTTGCCTTAGAAGTGGCTCTTCTCCTTCTCTGTGCTGCTTGAAGGATGTAGGATTTGGTTGTGGTCCCTGATTATTCACTTGTTGGAGCTACTACACCAGAGGTCAGGCCAGAGTCCTCCTCCAACCCCCAAACCTGTGGAGGACAAGGCCTGACCCATGTCTGCCTATGGATGGTGACAAAGATTGGTACACCTTGAGAGTCCCATCTAGTTGATTCATGCTTTGGACAGATCATTTTATCTTTCCCTCTCCCTCCTTCCCTCCCTCCCTCCCTCCCTTCCTTCCGTCTTTTATGTATGTACTAGGACTTGAACAGGAACAGAGCCCAGGTACTGAGTCAAGTCCTAGTGCCTACATGAAAGAGACAAAAAGACAGACAGGAAGGGAGGATGGAAGGAAGGATGGAAGGAAGGAAGGAAGGAAGGAACCTGGGCTCTGTTTGTTAGCTTTTTCACTCATGGCTTGCACTCTACTAATTGAATCACAGCTCTACTTCCAGCTTTTTGGTGATTAATTAAAAATAGGAGTTACATGGACTTTCCTTCCTTGGCTGTCTTTGAACCAATGATTCTCAGCTCTTGATCTTCTAAGTAGCTAGAATAATAGGCATAAGCCAGTGGCATGTGGCTTATTTTATCTTTCTTAAAACTTGAACCATCTGCACTGTGATACTTGACCTTTCCAAGGTGCATGATTGCCTCTTCTACCTTCCAGACACACAGTGTCTTTGTAAGTGGCTGCATGCAGTCCCTCTATAAGTGATGTTCATGTCCCTGCTTCTCAGCAAAGTTTCCAAAGCCCAGGATCATCTTGACAACACGTGGACAGGTTGCACTTGACCCTTGCTCTCCTGTGTGTTTGTACAAGGGGAGGCAGGCAAGACTACATGCTTAGGGTAGATAAAGAGAGAAGTAAAATGTTGGAGCCGCCTAAGGCAGTACACTGAAGAGCTGAGTGTCTACCTCTGCCATCGGGTCCCCATCAATTATGGTAGAGACAGGCCAAACTGGCTCTGTTCTCCAAAGTTCCCTAACCGCCCTTCTCTGTAGCTCCCAAACTTTTCAACTCCTTTCCTCTTCTCTGCTGACTTTCTTTAGTCTTAGGTGGGGGGGTGGTAGTGGAGATGGGACATAGATTCCAAACAACATTTTTGGCTGTCCCATTGGTTTTCATTTTGGAAGACTGTGTTGGTTCAGGTAGACTACACCTGATAGCCCCAGCAATCCATGCCAGCCATTGCTTGGCAGCCCTGCCTTATAGGAACCAGGAGACTCACTTAGCTGGTCATAAACAGCAGGAGTTGTGATGAGGATGTGGAGGAGGAGGAAGATAGCAGCCACAGAGAGCTTCATCCTCTCAGAAGGTGAGTGCAGCTTCCAGGAGAGTTGAGCCAGGGCATCTGCCTTGCTGCTGGATATTGTTGCACAGACTACTCAGCATTCTGAACTCTGACCCCAGAGCCAGTAGAGGAGGGGAAACTACAGGCCTATGTGTTGGCATAGAGGAGAGAGAGGCAGGTGCAGGGTTGAGTTCAGCAGGAATTGGAATTCATGTGGGTTGATAAGTGGTGGACTGTGTGATAGTCTGATGCTATCAGACACTTTGCGCATCCTTTCTTAGAGGTTATGATTTGTGCAGGGTCCTATGGGTTGGAAGTGGATGGATAGGCAGTACTGAGAACCAAAGTCATTGCCTCTCAGATTTCTCCCACCATCTCCATGATGGGCAGGAGACAGGATTAAAGGTCCCTAGTTTGCCCCCTGGTGATTGGTCTTTGGAGGGTAAGCATAAAGCAGAATTAGAGAGAATGCAGCCTGAGGAAAAGGCAGTGATATCTGAGAGGATGTCCCATATTCCCAGTCCAAGACACATGGTTGAGTTCACACATGAGCTTTCTTGCCACGAATTATGCTACTAAAAATACTTTGATAAAACTGCCTAATCAGCTGGACACCAGTGGCTCAAGCCTATAATTCTAGCTCTACTCAGGAGGCTGAGATATGAGCATCGTGGTTCAAAGCCAGCTCAGGCAGGAAAATCCATGAGAGTCTTATCTCCAACTAATAACAGAAAAAGCCAGAAGTAGCGCTATGGCTCAAGTGGTAAAGCACTAGCCTTGAGCAAAAAAGAACCCAGGGACAGTGTCCAAGCCCAGAGTTCAAGCTCCAGGACTGGCAAAAAAACAAAAAACAAAAAACAAAATCTCACCGGGCTCCAGTGGCTCACATCTGTAATCCTAGCTACTCAGGAGACTGAGATCTGAGGGTTGCAGTTCAAAGCCAGGCTGCGCAGGAAAGTCTTTGAGACTCTTATCTCCAAGAAACCAACAGAAAACTGGAAGTGGCACTGTGGCCCAAATGGTAGAGTGCTTGCCTTGAGCAGAAGAGCTGAGGGACAGCACCTGGGCCCAGAGTTCAAGCCTCATGACTGACAAAAACAAACAAAAATAACAACACCCCCCCCCAAATAAAAACAACCAAAACCCTGCCTGATCCCTGAATGCCTTATGTTGCTGAGGCACTTGTGTTGCCAATTTCCTTATTTAGTTCTTTGGCCCTTGAACTTCAGACAAATTATTAGGTGCAGTTGGCTCATCCCTCCTGGTGCCCTAAGCACAGGGGTCATCCAACCCTTCTACTGAGCCCAATAATAACCAGCGGAGAGAGCTCCATCATAGTGTTCTGATGACCAGCCATTGTGGTCCTATTTACCAGCTCCTCACATGGCCTTGGGTTCCAGCCACTTCTTCTCCACAACATCTTCTTCCTTTCCGTTGACTCTGGTTCCAGGTCCAGGCTGAAGGCAGTGTTCAGAGAAGACACAGAAGATACAGGGGGTTTTGCTGTGTCTGGACTGAGGACTTTGGAGTTGAGACTTGTGAGAAGCAGGGGCAAAACAGGTCACATGTAGATGCTTAGGGAGCTTGCTACTTGATGTGACTACTCATAAATGGATAAAACATGTAATACAATCCATTCTGATGGGTTTGGTATAGCTAGTGGTGGTGAAGCTGTGGCTTTTAGAGTAGGGGGGTTGCAGGTGTGGGCTTCTTTCTTGACCTATGTATATCAGAGGGTTGAGGAAGCCCGGTTGTACCCTTGGCATATATGCCCTATCTTGGCCCTTGCCTAGACCTGCAAACCCTTGTCTGTGAAAGACCAGAGGGCAGGGCAGGGTGGTCTGGTTCCTACATTGAGCATGCTCTTTCTCCAGGAAAATGGAGCTCCTTTTTGAACCCTGAAGATAAATTTGAAAACCAGTTCTTAGCGCACCGAACTCCTCTTTCTGTCTTATCCCTTTCCCTTCTCTCTTCTCCCTTCCTCCCGCCCTCCTTCCCTTTCTGTCTTCTATTTCTTGAGTAGCTGGCATGGGCCAGATACTAGATCTAGCGAGAGACACAAAACTAAGTAAAATCGTATAGAAAAACCAGACGTATGTAATTGGAGGGGTGAATGCTTACATAAATATGTCCACAAATCATTTCTATCCCAGATTGCAGTGAAGATAGGCCTTGGGAATCACATGTATGCACACATGTGCATGCATGCACACAGGCACACACACATACACACCCAACTTTAGAGTCTAACTACTAAGGAGAGACTTTTATGAAGATCTATCTGTAAAATCAGGTGGTAAATCTTAGCTATTACACTATGGTGAAGCTTACACAGGAGAATGCAAATAGACTGCCTGGCAGTGATTGGGCTAGGGAGGCACTGAGCAAATGGTGTGCCATTAGTGATTTATTGCTCATTCTCTGTTTAGCTTTCCATTACCCCATCACCATCCTGGACCTGTGCACCAGGCCTTGACAAAACTTCTGCAGAGTGAGACTGGGTGTAGACATACCCAGGCTGGGCTCCCTGGTATGTCCTGTCTACTTCCAAGGGTAAATTCAGAAAAAAAAAAGAATGAGAAAAAAAAGACAGGGAAAGGCATGAATAGTTTTTAATTGAAGACTAAGAAATCCCTAGGGGCTTCCCGTGGCTGAGGGTTGGGCCCAGAGGAGGCACTTGGCTTTTTCTCTTTAGGTTGCTGAGCTGTGACCTTCTGCCACACTTTTGGACCACTCAGTTCTCCTCTAGGTCCATGATGAGGTCCTGGACCCATTCATCTTTGGGGTTGGCACAGATGGAGTGATTCTTTTTGGTGATGAAGCTAGGGAGTGAACCAGAAAGGATTACAAACCAAGGGGTCCAGCAGCCAGGAAGAAAGGCCCCCCATACATTCCTTGCCCCCTTCTCTTATCAGAGGCAGTTTAGGACCAGGCTTCCCTTGGGGACAGGCTCTTCAGCCAGTAAGGGTAGGAAGTGTCCTTATGCCTCCATTCTCTCTTTTATATTGTGCCGATCCCAGTGCTTGAACTTGGGGCCTGGCAACTGTCCCTGAGCTTCTTTTGCTCAAGGCTAGAGTTCTACTACTTGAGCTACAGTGCTACTTCTAGCTTTTTATGACTAGAGATAAGAGGGCTTTGAACTGTGATCCTCAGATCTCAACCTCCTGAGTAGCTAGGATTATGAGTCACCAGCACCAGAACTTGTGTCCTCTTTCCCCCCTCAATGCCTCTTCATCTGTGAATATCTCTCAGGTAACTCCACAGGCTTCAGCCAAGAGTCCCTATATTGCCCCTGGGCTGCCTCTCCTAGAGATCCTGATTCTTCCCTCCCCTCTTGATTGTGTATGGGGAAGGAGCAGATACCTACATGACTCCCGGCTTAGAGCACTCGCTGCTGGTCTCATAGTAACTAGTAATGCGTTCACGTGAGATGGCACGTGTGATGTAGGTGAAGCAGCACTCAGCCGGGTGGTAAGGCCCTCCTAAAGAGAAAGCACAGGTCAGGGAAGTGGGTTCCTGAGTAACACAACATTGTCCTTGGCTTCAGAGGACCTTGCTCATCTTCTCCCTCTCCACCATACTGTTTGGGCTCCTTTTCCTCCTCTTTCAACAGCAGCCACCTGTCTTCCTTTCATTCCTCCTAGAAAGATCAGTTGGTGACTTTCAACCCTAGGCTTGAAGCACAACAAACGCACAGCTTCCCAGTTCGCCCACACTAATCCAGGAACCAACTCAGAGCAGGCTAGTGACTTGCTGATGGTCAACCAGCCCTCATGGGAATATTTGGAAGACATACTAATGGAGATAGACAGGTCACGTGGGGATGCAGATCTAGCCCCTACCAGTCTCTCATTCTGTCCCCATCAAATTCAGGGCCTGCAGAATGAGAAGTATCCCCAATTAGCCCTAAGGACAATGGCCAAGAAGTTAGGATACCCAAGTTTGAATCCAACGGAGCACTTGTTTTCTTCCTACTGTGACCATTTTACTTTCCCTCTGTTTCCTCTATGGAAATGAAGCATTTGGACAGGGTTGGTAGTGATGGTAGGATTCACACTGAGCTTCCTACGGCTACTCTGGGCGGGGGGGGGCGGGGGGAGTACTGTTTTTTTGGGGGGGGTCCGTTTGTGGGGCCTGAACTCTGGGGGGCGCTGTCCCTCAGCTCTTCAGCTCAAGGCTAGCACTCTACCACTTGAGCCACAGCGCCACTTCTGGCTTTTTTCTTTTTTGCTTATGTGGTGCTGAGGAATCGAACCTAGGGCCTCAGGCATGCAAGACAAGCGCTCTACCAGTGAGCCACCTTCCCAGCCCCAGTACTGTTGTTTTTGAGAATAATATATTGGGGACTTTTCTTGTGTTACATATTGGCTCCTTTTTTGGGGGGGGGTCCAGTCATGGGGCCTGAACTCTGGGCCTGGGCGCTGTCCCTCAGCTCTTCAGCTCAAGGCTAGCGTGCTACCACTTGAACCATAGCACCATTTCCAGCTTTTTTATTTTCTGCTTATGTGGTGCTGAGAAATCGAACCCAGAGCCTCATGCATGCAAGGCAAGCGCTCTACCACTGAGCCATCTTCCCAGCCCCTACATATTGGCTTCTGTGGAAAAAAAAAGTTTTAAAACTAGGTTAGATGACTTTTCAGCTCACTTCTGGTTATGAAATTTTATAGCTTTTAAAAAAGAAGCAAGAGAATGACGATGGAGTTGTCAGAAGTTTAGATGATAGAGGAAGAGGGAAAGGGACTGCAGATAAGGGTTTTGTGCAAACCAGCATGAACTGCGGCTGTGTGGGAAAGTCAGGTGTGTGTACATTACGTGACCATGCTGGACAGAGCGAAAGTGTGCATCGCAGTGTCCTCCAGGCCACTGAGAATGGCTGGTTGCTGGCAAGGGAGAGGTAGAGGTTGGTGGGGAGAAAAGATCCATTCTCTTTATCCAGTATCACCCCAAGGAGCATCTCACTATCCAATCCTTGGAAAAAGGGATCCCCTGGACCCTAAGATCTGCTCAGGGCTC